GCTGTGATTCAGTCACTATGAGCTGTTTGTGCTATCAATCAACACACGGCAGAGGCTCACGCGAACGCATTGTCAGGTCTCTGACGCGTCCCTCGCCGAGAAGCATCGGGCGCTACGACGTATTAATTCAGGTGGCTAGTTCTGTGACAGCCCACGTTTGGTGCCGGTCTAGGGCGCCCTGCCGGGTGCTTCAGCCACTCGGAGCCGGAGGGCCTCGTAATAGGGCCGTTCCTGACACACGACCGCAGAATCCAACTACCAGGCCCCAGTCAAGCCCCGATGCGCATGAGTCGGGGCGAGCGCCCGAGGGGCGTAGCAAAGCTCTCGTCCCGTACGCGCTGGTGGAATCTAGCTGCCTTGTGCAGCTGGTGTGCGGAGGGCAGCCGCCAAGCACCCACCGCTATGACGGAAGTCCTCCACCGGCACATCACAGTATGTAGAGTCGTGCTGTGGTAGCGTTGGAAGAGGAGAGTGTGTCCGCTTCTCGCGAGTGCACATGAGAGGATGGCTATATGAGGTGACACGGCTTGCTGCAAACAGCCCGGCTGGGGGGGTTGATGCGCATGCACGCACCGTGCGTTTTGCAACGTCCTAAAAAACTGGCAAGGGAAATTGTTTCCTGTAGTTCATCTACAGAGTCCATTTCAGTGGTCCCACGCAGATAACCCGTTTTGAGATTGGTAGTAAGACGTCTGGGGTGATCACGACCATGGATGGGTGCGAAGAATGTGTGCAGTCGCAAATGAGCACACAAGCCAAGAGTGGGGGGGGATTAAACAAAGACAACCGGTTACGTCGGTATTACATATCCGGAGACCGAAGCAGCCAAGCTATGACGTCCCAGACGAACCATGCCAGTGCGTGCACTCCGCCGCTTGAGGGTAAACCCGGATCTGCGTTGCACGCATCGTGGTTCGCGTGGTCGAATTCTACTCGCCTAGTATTCTCTTTCAAAACCATCAGGAGCGGGGGTGAAGGGAACTTTTCTTGTATAGAACGCTTTTTCCCGCAGGCATTTCGACAATCCCGGTCTCCACGGTAAAGGACTGTTGCGACCCCGGAAGGAGAACCTGCCCTCACACGACGCACTTATTCCGCACCGGTACAACCTCGTCTCACCATGCGACGCAAATACCCCACTATGTGTTGGGTGTAGATTCCAAGAACTACAACCATTGGTGAGGAAACGTTTGTCACTTGGTTTGTTTACTGGTGTTACATGCAGAAAGAGAAGGAGAGTCTGTTTTACAGTGAATTGTGTGTGAAGGAACAACAGGCACGCTTGTTTTCGTGTGCAAGAACTGATCCACTAGATGTCAAACATTTCAATTTGAGTTTTGGGAGAGCTTGATTTGCTACACACACGCAGGCTCTGTATTTGACAACGTGTGGGACATTAATAGGGACATGTTGCCGAAACGACCACGTCACACTGTCCATACCCGAATAGATGTTGTTATACTCTGTTGCTTAATCGGTCATGCCCTCTTAAACCGGTGACTCTATTGTCCTCAATAGGCAGTGGATGGATATTGTGTACGTAGCAGTATTATACGAGGTAGAGGTAATAGCCAACTGTCAAATGGACAGCATCTGGCAACACAAGGATATCACGTTACTAGTTCAATTGGTTCGCAAGAAGGATTGGCTGGCACTTGGTAGGGAGCCATGGCATGATTCACAGAGGGAGACCCAATTGAGGACACTATTTGTACATCTGCCCTATTTCAAAGATCCCAAACGTTCCCCTAGTCTTGTTGTGTCAACAGGGCAAAGGCAAGGCAAATATACCAAGGACCAATCTGTAAGATCTACTATAGCCCATAATGTAGTAGAACTTGCTATTCATTCAAAATAAATTTTATTGTGTGCATGATTATACAGTAAAATGCGCGTCATTTGTGGAAAACGTAGCACAAATCCCGACAGATTGCCTGATATTTTAACTACACAGATCCTGCACTATATAGTTATGTAAGCTCTACCATCATGACCACTTCAACTTGATGCTTCCCATGAACTCCGTCAGTTAATTCTATGTGTCATAACATACTCATTCAAGTACTCAAACCTGTTGCATAAAACACCTGATTCCAGGTATGGTAACAGTTGGGACTGTGGCTATGAAGCTCTGGGGAATTGACATTAGTAGGAACCCGTTCCGGTAGGAAAGTATCAAAACACAAGTTCCCAACAACGGTACACTACCCACGTTCTGCTAGTGGTTTGACCCAAGGTGTCCCAGGGTTGGTCAACAGTGGTGTTCGCTATGCCTCTGAGATTGACAAAAGTGAAGAATTTGTTAAGCCAGCGCTCCGACGAGAAGAATTTGTTTGGGGCAGTGTTCTGTGGATGAGCATGCACCTGTGGTTTGATCGACATGCACCTTGCAATGCCTTTGAGATCCATGTATGTACGTACGTAGCTAAAGTCAGCATTCTGAGTATATAATGTATCATACTACATGTATATACACTAACACCACAACACAATAAATGCACAATAAGCTTATGTGGATTGTACAAAGCAACTCAACTACATGGCTGTTATATCATTTGCCTTTAACCCCTCAGCATGGATATACTTGAAATCTCAAAAGTAAATATACATAAATCGGCCTTTAAACTCTCAGTATGGAAAAATTAGCAAAAAATTAAAGGACTGTTAGCTAGGAGAAAATGAAAAACTCTCAGTGACTGGAGAATTAGGATCTTCAAACACTCAGTTTCCTGTTAAAAAGAAAATGTGGACCACAATGGCATTTGGGCCCTCTGGTACCGACTGTAGTGGCGTAGTGAACTCACTGGTAAAGTAGTAGGTGCGGCCGGGCTGGTAGTCTGGAGTGTCTTGGAGATTTTCAGATTTCCTCTGGATGGCCGTCGAGAAGTTGTTGGCATTGAAATACTCGCAGTTCGATATCAGTATGCACTTTGCTCCAGACTCACAGTTGCAGTTTGTGTATTGGTCGATCTCAGTCTGCGTGCCGTGTGGGAGGAGAGAGAGAGAGAGAGAGAGAGAGAGAGGGAGGGAGGGAGGGAGAGGTTCAGGTAAAAGTAAACAAATTGCTGAGAATCCTAAAAAAAATTTTCTGAATGAGGGATGATTGATGGCAGTCACACAAAAAATATAATGGAAACACAGTGGAATTAATATTGTCCTAATCCCCACGAAATCTCACTCAAACAGCAATCAACCTGGGACAGTACAGGCAAAATGTCTTGAACATGTGGGTCCCTAGTTCGAGATGACGAAAAATGAACCCTTTTAAAATGAGCACCTAAAGTGTGGTTTGGTTCCTTGAGTCATGATTCTAGAAACAGCAAGATTCTTGAGTAAGTGTTTTAAGTTGTACAGTGTAATCAGCAGATTAAGTGGCTCAATTGCACAGCAAGTGGAAGCACTGCTACAGAAAAGTCTCAAATGTGAGTGCAGGCTTTAAGAAAAGTTGCAACTATGAGTGCAGCCTTCAGAAACGGTCTCAACTTTGAGTGCAATTTACTAAGTGATACATGTCTTGAATATCAGTTGAGCAGGTATAGTACACATTAAAGAGGAACGCCGGATTGAGTATCAAAAGAGGGTATTAATTCCACTGAAGTGTTATGGGAAAAACAGGGTATTTTTGTAGATCCCCAAGATTTTTGCACATCGGATGCCATCAAGAGTAGCTCTAACATGTGGCCGCAATGCTATATGTGTACTAGATGGCGAGGATCTCTGTTTGAGTGCCTTTACATCTCTGTCAGAGTTGTGTTCTGAAGAGTAAACTGTATCTTCCTTGCATTGTGCTATATAGCCTTACTCTGTGTCAAATTGTTGTAAATATCCTACTGGTTATCCTCGTGGTACCGTTCAAACCTTATTTGAAAGTACATGAAAAATATGTGAGCCCAACACGTGGCTTACCCTGAACCTCGGTCTCAAATGTGAGTCCAACGCGTGGCTTACCCTGAACCTCGGTCTCAAATGTGAGTCCAACGCGTGGCTTACCCTGAACCTCGGTCTCAAATGTGAGTCAAACACGTGGCTTACCCTGAACCTCGGTCTCAAATGTGAGTCCAACGCGTGGCTTACCCTGAACCTCGGTCTCAAATGTGAGTCCAACGCGTGGCTTACCCTGAACCTGGGACTCAAATGTGAGTCCAACGCGTGGTTTACCTGAACCTCGGTCTCAAATGTGAGTCCAACGCGTGGCTTACCCTGAACCTGGGACTCAAATGTGAGTCCAACGCGTGGCTTACCCTGAACCTGGGACTCAAATGTGAGTCCAACGCATGGCTTACCTGAACCTGGGACTCAAATGTGAGTCCAACGTGTGGCTTACCTGGAACCTGGGACTCAAATGTGAGTCCAACGCATGGCTTATCTGGAACGTGGGACTCAAATGTGAGTCCAACGCGTGGCTTACCCTGAACCTGGGACTCAAATGTGAGTCCAACGCGTGGCTTATCTGGAACCTGGGACTCAAATGTGAGTCCAACGCGTGGCTTACCTGGAACCTGGGACTCAAATGTGAGTCCAACGCGTGGCTTACCCTGAACCTGGAACTCAAATGTGAGTCCAACGCGTGGTTTATCTGGAACCTGGGACTCAAATGTGAGTCCAACGCATGGCTTATCTGGAACGTGGGACTCAAATGTGAGTCCAACGCATGGCTTATCTGGAACCTGAGCTGCGCGCCGAGGGTTAATTATATAGGACTGAAATTTCTGGTCAAAGGGTAAAATATCACTGGGTTTGAAAAAAGAGTGCGCTTGGGCGTGGCCTTAGTAAGCGCGCATCGCGTAGAGTGATTTTGGGCGTGGTCGGACCTATATATACGCGTTGGGTCTACTTGATCCAAGGGCACTAAAACGCGCTAGCCTTGTATATGTAGTTGCTCCCAGCTTTCACTGCGTGACCTTTGCACCGCGCGGCAGCAGGTATATATATACCTATAGTGGGGGTGTGCCGAACGCGCAGCGCAGAGAATCCTGGGATTTTTTAAACCAATATGCGGGGCAGCGGGTAGCTAAGCATCTCTTTTCCGGGATAAACCCGGGAGGGTTGGCAGGTCTGGAGACCACGAGTAACAACTAAAATTAAACCCAGCCCATCAATTAGTGGTACGGCGCATGCGTTTACTTACGCGTGTTCGTGACTGTGTCTGCCGAGGGTTTGCACTTCAGTGCTTTTCATTGCTTGTTGCTTTACTCCAAGGGAAAATACGTGTAGGTGATCAGAAAGTGAAACTACAATTTCTAAGAGGAAACTCCGACAGACAGTAGAGTAAGATATTAGAGTAGCAACGTCATAATGTACACGTCTCGTAGTAATTACGTAGATGGGCTAATTTGCAGGAACTATACCACGAGAAAGTGTAAAGTGTGGTGTCAGCTTCCTTATACGTGAAACCCCACCATTATATACACATTGAGTCAGAGATTGTTATGTGTGTGTGCTGTAACTCAATGCAGTAGAGTGGTGATATCACAAAATTTACTGTATTATCGGTAGACTCTCTATATAGGGATGACACGGGTGAATCTCACGTGATCCGCGTACAAAACGACTAAAAACTCGGTGAGAATCACTTCCTAGGCCTTCAAAACATACTAGCAATAGTCTACGGGCCCATATCTACCTATACATGTCCCCCAAGAGCTCATACGCACCTTCAGTCGTCCACGCGAGAATTCGCTCATACGCGATTTCACGATTTTCGTGTCATCATATTCTTCATCTTCTCCTTCTTCTTCTTCTTCTTCTTCTTTAAACCCGCTATCTCCTTACCAGTACCAGTTCAAGCACTGATTTTTTCACTGAAGGTCTCCAATTTCGCCGGAGGTGTGCACGGACATCAAGCGATCGTTTCTTTCTTGCCGCTAGTCACTACGGTAGATCATGGAGCTCTTCCATGGTCGACCTGAACAACGCCATTTGCTGCTTACTCAGAATCAGTGATCCGCGCGCATGCGCCAGGTAGGGGCGTTGTCCAATGTTCTTGCGAGCGTATTCTACCGGGCGAGTTGGCAGACCTGCAGAGGAACTGTCAGCCTCCAGTAGCTACCTTCTGTAAGTAAGTGTGCACATTTCCAACTGGCTATCTTGCTGTTGATTTGCACGAAGAGCAACTTGCCAGAGTCAGCGCGGTGTTACGCGAGCCTTGCGGGGCACTCAGTCAAATGGGCCTTCATTGTTTGTCCCCCCCAGGTTGTAGCCTGATTACCAAAGCCTGCCAATGAAACCACAACCATGTGCAATAATCTAATTACATCCTTGTTGAAGACAATACATGAGGTGAATGCGGTATCTAGCAGCCCCATTAGCTACTACTTTCAACAGTTACTATGGTAGCCTATCTACAAATGAACATCAGAGTGACTGTAACAATAAATGCAGTGTTGCCATAAGCTGTTAAAAATAGTGGAAACAAGTGTAAAAATCATTTCTTCAAAATGAAAGGGGGATATAGGGATGGCTTGAAGCACCAAAAAGGAAGAAACAAGGGGTCATTACACAGCAAAGTTGCACAAAGCTACATGACACCATCCCTATATCTTTGTTTTATTGTTATAAGCAAAGTTTAATATCAAACAATATCAAACAAAGATATAGGGATGGTGTCATGTAGCTTTGTGCAACTTTGCTGTGTAATGACCCCTTGTTAACCCTCGGCGCATGCGCAAGGCAGGGGCGTTGTCCAATGCGCTGTGAGCGCGTATTACCAGGGGAGTTGGCAGACCTGCAGAGAAACTCTCACAGCCTCCAGTACCTTCTGTAAATAAGTGTGCACATTTACAACTGGCTAGCTTGCTGTTGATTTGCACCAAGAGCAACTTGCCAGAGTCTGCGCGGTGTTACGCGAGCCTTGCGAGGCGCTCAGTGAAATGGGCCTTCATTGTTTGTCCCCAGGTTGTGCCAAAGCCTGCCCATGAAACCACAACCATGTGCAATAATCTAATTTACATCCTTGTTGAAGACAATACATGAGGTGAATGCGGTATCTAGCCCCTGCTTCAGGCACTAGCAGCCCCATTAGCTACTACTTTCAACAGTTACAATTTGTCTATGGTAGCCTATCTATAGCATGCCCATGACCATCAGCGTGACTCTAACAATAAATGCAGTGTTGTCATAAGCTGTTAAAAATAGTGGAAACAAGTGGAAAAATCATTTCTTCAAAATGAAATGGGGATATAGGGATGGCTTGAAGCACCAAAAAGGAAGAAACAAGGGGTCATTACACAGCAAAGTTGCACAAAGCTACATGACACCATCCCTATATCTTTGTTTTATCGTTTACAAGCAAAGTTTCATATCGAACAAAGATATAGGGATGGTGTCATGTAGCTTTGTGCAACTTTGAAGTGCCCATTTGACTGAGCGCCTCGCAAGGCTCGCGTAACACCGCGCAGACTCTGGCAAGTTGCTCTTGGTGCAAATCAACAGCAAGCTAGCCAGTTGTAAATGTGCACACTTATTTACAGAAGGTACTGGAGGCTGTGAGAGTTTCTCTGCAGGTCTGCCAACTCCCCTGGTAATACGCGCTCACAGCGCATTGGACAACGCCCCTGCCTTGCGCATGCGCGCGGCTCACCGATGCTGAGTTAGCAGCAAATGGCGTTGTTCAGTGTCGACCATGGAAGAGCTCCATGATCTACCGTAGTGACTAGCGGCAAGAAAGAAACGATCGCTTGATGTCCGTGCACACCTCCGGCGAAATTGGAGACCTTCAGTGAAAAAATCAGCGCTCGAACTGGTACTGGTAAGGAGATAGCGGGTTTAAAGAAGAAGAAGAAGAAGAAGAATAATGATGACACGAAATCGTGAAATCGCGTATGGGCGAATTCTCCCGTGGACGACTGAAGGTGCGTATGAGGTCTTGGGGGACATGTATAGGTAGATATGGGCCCGTTGACTATTGCTAGTATGTTTTGAAGGCCTAGGGAGTGATTCTCACCGAGTTTTTAGTCGTTTTGTACGCGGATCACGTGAGATTTCACCCGTGTCATCCCTATAATAGAGAGTCTACCGACTCTCTAATACCGCCTCGTGTGTAGTGCCAGGGACAAACACAGTACTGTCTTGCTGCGCATGTGCGCTGAAAGTAAATCGCAAATCGTTAACATATTTACGTATCAAGTCCACCATCTACAACATTTGCTAGAATTTATACCCACAAATAATAGTGACCGTAAGGTATGTATTACACTCAGAATCATTGTATGTGAACGATCGACGTGTACGAATGAATAAATATTGCCTCACTCTAATAGACTTGACAATATGAACCATACACATCAAAATTAATGGCGTGTTTGTGAACATTTCAACATTAATAGTGATGTGATACAATGGTGGGGATTTTAGATCACTCTCCTCTTACTCCTTATCAGGTATTTAGCTATAGCCCACATTTTCCAAAGGAGATCCTATTTTGGGTGTACGTGAACTATTATCAAAATATTATTTGTTCCAAAGAACTGTGTTTTTGTTGACTGTGACAGCATGTGACAGCATGTGGTGGAATATTATAGTACTCTAGTCAAAAGCGGAGATGTGGTGGGCACATTTCCTCAATGAATACTGTTTTTCCTCTTGTGCTTTGCTTCTCTGTTTGGACCAGGAAACCTTTGTTTTTGGACAACCATTAGTTTCTCCCTGACCTTTTGTGAGAATTACAATGCCAGTGCATGTGGCAGTGTCCTTCTACAGTGGGCAGTGGATATACTGTATATAGCTCCTATAGGAATGTGGTAGTACATTGTAAGGGCTAAATTTAGAAAGATGGATAAGGAGACAGTTGAAGAATGCTTTTAGTAACATTTCACATTTCTAAATTTATTCCCACATTCCCTTTAAGCGCAATTTGCTGTACTATGGACTACTCTGGTTCTTGGCCTACTGTATTAGACTTGTTGTTTATGTTTCCTCTTGCAGCACCTTATCAACCAACCACAAACATCTCTCCTACCAATACTCCAGGAGTGCCTAAGGATCCTCAGGGTGCTGGGAATGATGACAGGAGTCAAATGTTTTATGAAAGTAGTGGCTTTGTAGCTGCCGTTGTTGGTACAGTTGCTCTTGGTCTTCTAGTCCTTGTGATAATTTTACTGCTACTATACCTTTGTCATCGTGGTACGAGGAAGAGGTCTGTTAATGTGGAAACGTTCACTTCGCCTCTGCCTGGCATGCCCATAGTAGACACAAAACCTTTGGATTCTAAGGAGAAATTAGTCTCACCCATGACACCTGTGGAGCCCGAGGACAGCGTCAGTTTCGTCAAAGGCGGAGCTTCATATACAAAGGGTAATAATGGATCATCAGTGAGTACCTTCAAACCAGAAGGGAGTGGTACTGGAGATGGGAACAAGAAGAAACAGGACAGGGATGAGAAAAAGGACCAAAAAGAGACAACAAAATCACCAGAAAATCGAAAGAAAGGTGTACCGCCAAAAGGAAATCGTGGCCCTGGAAGAGGCAGTGGGAACCAGCCTGGCTCTGAAACCAACGGTCCTGGACACAACGCAGCTCATAGAGCAGAAGTGAGCCAGAGCAAGAGCAGGTTGACTGCAGGCAGTTCTACGGCCAAGGGGCCACCCCGGCATCTTCCTGCTGTGAAAGAGCCTAGCAACGGTGCTCAAACACAAACCAATAACACTCCTGGGCACAACGCAGCTCGTAGAGGTTCTGGTGTGCAGTGCGAAAGGGCAGCAGCAGGGAGCCATAGCAAGGGCAAGTTGACTGCAGATGGTTCAGCAGCCAAAGGGCCATCCGGGCATACTCCTGCTGCAAAAAAGACTAGCAAAGGTGCTCAAAGAGGGAACGGCTCACAAATAACTGCTTCTTCCCAACATATCAGCAATCAACAACAGACAGGAAACTCCACTCGGAGATCATCTGTGACCAGTCCAAAACGGCCTGCTCCAGTTCGAGCATCTAATTGTCACAGTCATGGTCAGGACTCCCGGGCTAAATGTGATACATAATTTCCTAGCTTTTTTACAGTGATTGTATCTTGTATCCATTAGTGTGTGTACGATATCGACTCGTCCAATATAAGAAACATGCGCGCTGACTCGCAAATTAGAGCTGCGTCGGGCATGCGCATTATGTAGCAGAAAGCTAGCTAGCTACGCATAAAAGCCGTCGCAGAACGATGCAGAAACTACTTGGCCAGTTCAATATCTCTGTTCAAGCTGAGATGGGTTATAGTGTACAGGATAACCTCCTCAGAGTCCTTCTCTGCTGCTGCCTGCGGCTGCTTCGGCCATCGCTTGGCATGCCGACGGTGCAGACCCTCGGCGAAATTACTATGAGACGGATAAACTGGACGAGAGAGGGCGTTTCTGGCTACACGCCAAGGTGAGGCTATCATATTAGAAAAATAATAAATGTAAATGCCTTCATTGATCATTTTTGTTTTACTTCCATGTCACAGTGAGCCGTTGTACGTGGTGTTGCACGATATCCTGAAGTTTCAGTGCGAAGAACAGAGTTCCGATTTTGTATACTTACTGCGGGTAAGTTGCGTAGCTAGGAGTCCGTAGGCTATTATGCAACAGCCTTTTCATATAGTTACACACTCAGAGTTGCATGAAAAAACATGTTTATAGCATACTAGCTAAAAGAATAATATCAGAGGAAAAGAAAGAACCTCCCCCACCCAAGCACACAAAACACAGACAGTAACATACCCAAGCATACAAAAACACAGGCAATGACATATAAACAGAAAGAAAGAGGCAGGACCCTGGGTGCCCAGCCTTGAGAACCAGGGCGGTAGGTTTAAGAGTCTGTACGTTAGTACTGCTGCTCTTGGTGTCATCTTCATTTCATCTTTGACAGGGAGATGCATACAAAAACGTCAGTGGTGCTTGCAGTTCATCAGGGATTGTGGAAGAATCGACCTTGAGCTCTCTGTGCAGACCACCGCCCATCGCCGACTGCAGACAGACCCAACCAGAGAAGACAGTTGACGGAGCAAATGAAACTGCCCATTCTTGCTACGTTGCGAGCTTCATTCCTGGCATGTCGTACTACCTGGCAAGTAAGTCTCAATTCTCTTACTCTACATAGGCCCATAGCTAGTTATGTGCAGCATGAACATTTTATATTATTAACTTCGTCATTCTGTCTCCAGGTTTCCCATCTAGTGGAGATACAAGTCGATGTCTGTTTGCTTTGCCATTGAAAGTGTGTCCACTGTATGATTCAGGTTAGTCTTCAGTGACTGTATCCATATACATAGGGACTATTTTTACTTACATCATTTCCTCCATTAAAGCGGAATTGTAGTAATAGGGTCTTTTCCCAAAACTCTACAACTTGTGGTTTCTGCCATTTAAGCCTTATACTGTATATACTGGGATCTCCGTGGGTATTTCCCTCATTGCTTACTATAATAAAACCATGGTGTTGTTGCAGTGAAATCATTGTTGTTTTAACACACGGGCACACACACACACACACACACACCTCAGACTGTCCTCCGTCAGGGACCCCTTCTACTCCATCCCCCTCACCCTCAATTACAACCTTCATTTCCTCGACACTGCCCCCGACCACTGGCCTCTCTCCTGGAAGTGGTAGTGGATTTCTATCTTCTGCTCCAGCCCCCACCACCTCCTCCCTCCCCACTCCTTCGTTGGTCCCAACTCCCACCACCACCACTGACTCTGCCTCGGGTGTTCATTCTATGCTGACAATAGCTGTGTGTTTCTTCTCTCTACTACTAGTCTCTCTCTTTAGTCAATAGTGTGTTCTTACTAGTCAAATTTCATATCACTTTTTAAACCCTGTTCTCATTTGTAATTATGATATCATGGAATGCATAATTCATAATGATTGTTGGGCATGCAGTTAGCTATTGGGCATACGAGCGACCTGTTCTTGCATTATGCTGATTTGTACTTTAGCAGTAAGGCACTTAACAGACGATATCTCTGAGTTCTCAACATAAATACTATATAATAACAATTTCCTTGCTTGATGATATAGGAGTTGTTACCTTTAGTGACGTCTGCACACTCAGTACCAGCCTTTGCTTCAGGTAAAGTATAATTATGTGTATCATGAACCATGATAATTATACAAAGTCTAAAAGAACTGCAGGATGATAGGTTTCTGTGGGTAATCATTCCCATGTAGCTGTCCTTCCTGCGAGGATGTAGTGTAGAGTAGTGGTCAGTTGAGAGTACATAGTTGTAAACTCGCATGCACAGAAATCGTATAATATGCGATTATATGTAATCTGGACGCCTTACGCTATTTGCGCATGTGCAAATGACAGCAACCTCTGGCATGGAGCTCCTCCAGCAAAACCATCAGGGTAGAGTTGATGGTGAATGTCGCGGTACTACTGCTGCTGACTGGGATACTGGCGGGCGATGCAAATTTTTAGGCCTCTAAGGATACTCCTTATATGTGCCATCTACCGAAAATAGACGCCGAACGGTGTCAGGAACTGCACTACGTAAGCCCTCAGCCCGACCGGTATAATAGCTAGCTACGTGAGCAGTGCGGTACTGTGTAACTGCTTTATAGTCTCACGAAATCCTTGGAAGTAATGCTTGCAGATGTTGTTACCAATATAACAGATGTAACGAGAGTGCTATATACTAATGACAAAGTCCTCAAAAGTGGTGATTGTCTGGGGAGGTTCTCTGCACTCACTAGTTTCTCACAGAACATTCAAACACCCAATAGCATTGGCCAAACAGTCATTGAATATGAACCTGGAAATCACTACTATTTTTCTACAGTCAGTCAAACACATGAGCTGATGGACCAGGAGAACCTCCATACATTTGAGGTCAGTGGTTGGATGCTCAAGATGATTGTCTCGGTTGTTGATGATGTAGTATAATAGAGAGTAGCTATAATGTGAATATGTGGGTCATGGTGATTATTGCATACTGGTGGTTCGCCCATTGTACTGGGTATTTATTATAATTATTATGCATTAGTTATGTTGCTTTTGCATTGATCAAAGGCACTGTGGCTCTCGTTACTGTACTATTGTGTATGCATGAGCTAATGAGCTATAAATATACTTTTCATGAGTCATGTTGTAACCGATCACTTACTTACCTTGTTACCTTCCAGCTCCATCGGATGTGGTCGTTTTGGTGTTACGCATGCGCGTTGTGGCACTCGAGCGATATCGCCGCGCGCGCCCTGATGTATAGACGGCCCGAGTGGCCCAGCTGTCTGAGCTATATACTACAAAGGGCTCCGAGGCCGTCTAAATCGTGTATTTTTCCATCGACAAGCTGCAGTATAACCTATTTAGACGGAGGCCGTGCTGGCCGTCACACCGAAAGGCATTAACCCTCGGCGCGCATACGCAGCGAGGGCCCTGTCTGTCAGTCTAGTCTGTTCTGGCACTACAGGATAGCTAGCTACGAGGCGGCCCGTTAGCGATACCAGCGGATTCAGAACTACGGGAGGCATAAAAATTATTAGGCGATTTTCCTTGGAACGACTTCGTTCGAGAGATGTGCCGTGAAAACCAGCGAATAAGCCAAATCGTACCGCGACCTGAACCGCTCGCTCTGTGTACCTTGGTGGCTCAGGAAGTCACAACCAATGGCATGTATCGACTCCCTCATGCTATCTACTACTGTAGCTAACCCGTGTCTGGCTCTCCGCGGGCTACTAGCGGAAGACCACGAGTAAACGCATACAAATAGCCGGTGGCCCAGCCCATCAATTGGCAGTATCGCGCATGCGCAGGGTTTACACTTTAGTGCTTTTCATTTTAGTTTATTTTTGCATCCCAGAGAGGCCTTTCAACGAAGAAACAGCGAGCTTGAAGTCGTCGCGGCGAGTTCTCGGCGACAGTGTGAGAGCGAGTATCTCTGCGCGGAAGCTTGCCACACCCCCATCGTTGCGGCATTTTTGTGCGGGCGTGTCCGTGGAAACCACCACTTTTCTGCAATCTGATTGGTCAATTTGACTCTGACGACGTCTAAAGCGATTTAAATGGTCCGGAAATTTGACGGTATATCACGATCGACGACCACAGCAGCATCACAGGAGAACCGAGAAACCTCGGGAGTTACAGGATGCAGTGCACGACTGAACGCCTCCTAAGACTACTACTGGTAGCGTTTTGCAGCTCCCTGGCGCGGGGAGCAACTCGGCACCCGGTGTTATGGACACCAGAAGGAGTGGAGCGAATAAAGTAAGTAAGTAAGGCCGCCGGGCCACTGTAATTGGCCCACTCTCTGAGGCAGCCATTAGCGACGGACGCACAGTTTTACGCAGCGTAGAGTCTCTGTACTGGGTCACCTGTATATAATAGCCTCCAGTCTCAGAGAAGGAGGGGCTGGTACGTAGCTACCGAGACTCTGGCTAGCTAGAAGACTTGGCGTTGCATGCACGCCGTTTCTGAAGATGTAACCTCTAGCTACTGAGAGGGAAGGAGCCCAGTCAGCGTGTAGCCAGTGGTCTCCCAGTCCGCTTACAAAATTGGCTGAGAAACGGTGTATGCTGCAAATGCGAAATGAGAAAGCTGGACATGAAGACTGTCCTCTGAGTCAATATATTGTGTACTAAGCCGAACCCAACAGAATGATATTTTTGAAACTGCTGCAATTGATATTCATAATGTTGTTTATTGTTTGCTGTAGTAGAGATGGGGATTGGTCATGCAGGAGCCTTTCCCTTTCTCTTGTTTTCTATATAGTATCCTTTGTTGTGTAGTGGTGCTTTCTACTGTTCATATCCACTGTATTATTATTTTTATCTCTTTGTGCTTGTTGTATCTGTGCTACAGCCACACAATCACAGCTAAGCCTGGAGATGAAATCACATTCATATGTCCCAGAGGCTCCTTCTCCACAACCTGGTTCATGGTGAGTGCTTTAGCTACATACATTCACACAGTTATAGCTAACCTCTTTCTTTTTTTTAAAACACTACTTTGAGTGCAAAAAAGTTAAGTGTATAAATGTAGCCTTACATTTGTTGTGCATGTTATCTACTGCAACTTAAAATTGCTTCAACATGTTTATCCCAGAAGGTGTAGTTTGTTTAGGTCCACGGAATTGCCTAATTCTGTAACAATGTTTGGCCTGATATAGAGTGACTAGTCAGTTATTACTCTTGACTACTGCTGTGCAAGGTGTGCTGTCACACAATAGTTAGAGTAATGTCATAATACAAAATTGCACCATCCCCAGCAGTTGCTAAGAAAGCTGTTACTTCTTGTTTTGCAACTAGAAGGGATAGCACTGATATATACACACCGGCTGACCATGTCCAGTGTTGGGAAAAGGTTTTTGCATCACCATATACTTAGCCAAACTTGGAAGAGAAATAATTCTCCCTCTGGCCAAATGTTCAATAAAACCCATTGCACCGCGTGATGCAAGTCCAACGAGGCCATCAAATGAGGTGAAAGTGGAGGGCCGTTTTCATTCATTGTTAACACAAACATTTGTGTGAAAGGTAAAAGCGAAACACATGGAGACGTAGTATCCTGTGTGGTATTTTCATATTTAGACTGAGGAAACAATAGCGGGAGATAACAACAGTTCTGGGGAAAACTCTAGCCTTTTTTGGAAGTACAGTGAATTTTGTGATGTCAACACTGTACTGCATGCACACAGACATAATAATATGGCAATCTCTGACTCAGAATGTGTAATGGTGGGGTTTCACGTAAGAGGAAGCTGCACCACACTTTACACGCTTTTTCTTGTGGTATAATAGTTCCTGCTAATTAGCCCCACATGACCATCTTTGTAAATACTACGAGATGTGTGTACATTATGACGTTGCTACTCTACTATAGCACAACCCAACTGTCTATAAGAGTTTCCTCTTAGAATTATTCTTGTGGTGTGTAGTTTCACTTTTAATCTCCTTACCAAACCTCCACGTATTTCCCTTGGAGTAAAGCAACAAGCAATTATACTGGCCGTCCCACTTTTATGACAATCCACGGTGTGTCTGGTCCATTATATTTTTTGTGGGGCTGCCATCAATCATCCCGCATTGAGCAAATGTTTTTTAATGATTCTCAGCAATTTTTTTACTTTTACCTGAATTCACTCCCTCTCCCTCCCTCTCCTTCCCTCCCTCTCTCTCTCTCCCTCTCTCTCTCCTCCCACACGGCACGCAGACTGAGATCGACCAATACACAAACTGCAACTGTGAGTCTGGAGCAAAGTGCATACTGATATCGAACTGCGAGTATTTCAATGCCAACAACTTCTCGACGGCCATCCAGAGGACATCTGAAAATCTCCAAGACACTCCAGACTACCAGCCCGGCCGCACCTACTACTTTACCAGTGAGTTCACTACGCCACTACAGTCGGTACCCGAGGGCCCAAATGCCTTTGTGGTCCACATTTTCTTTTTAACTGGAAACTGAGTGTTTGAAGATCCTAATTCTCCAGTGACTGAGAGTTTAAGTCCTTTTTTCTCGTAACAGCCAGGCTACTCGTTTAATTTTTTCCATACTGAGAGTTTAAAGGCCGATTTATGTATATTTACTTTTTGAGATTTCAAGTATATCCATGCTGAGGGGTTAAAGGCAAATGATATAACAGCCATGCAGTTGAGTTGCTTTGTACAACCCACATAAGCTTATTGTGCATTTATTGTGTTGTGGTGCTAGTGTTCATGTAGTATGATACATTATATACTCAGAATGCTGACTTTAGCTACGTACATACATACATGGTTCTCAAAGGCATTGCAAGGTGCATGTCGACCAACCACAGGTGCATGCTCATCCACAGAACACTGCCCCAAACAAATTCTTCTCGTCGGAGCGCTGGCTTAACAAATTCGAACGCATGGCGAACACCACTGTTGACCAACCCTGGGACACCTTAGGTCAAACCACTAGCAAAAAAAACATGGGTATATACCGTCATTGGGAATTTGTGTTTGGATTCTTTCCTACCGGAACGGGTTCCTACTAATGTCAATTCCCCAGAGCTTCATAGCCACAGTCTTAACTGTTGCCATACCTGGAATCAGGTGTCGTCCCTAAGTTAAAGACGGTGCAACAAGTTTGAGTACTTGAATTAATATGTTATGACACATACAAACTCCCAAATGACAAGTTCATGGGAAGCATCAAGTTGAAGTGGTCATGATGGTAGAGCTTACATAACTATATAGTTCAGGATCTGTGTAGCAATCTGTCGGGATTTGTGCTCCATTTTTCACAAATGACGCGCATTTTACTGTACATCATGCACACAATAAAATTTATTTTGAATGAATAGCAAGTTATACTGCATTATGGGCTATAGTAGATCTTATAGATTGGTCCTTGGTATAATTATTTGCCTTGCCTTTGCCCTGTTGACACAACAAGACTAGGGGAACGTTTGGGATCTTTGAAATAGGGCAGATGTACAAATAGTGTCCTCACTTGGGTCTCCCTCTGCCGCGGCTCCCTGGCTCCCAGTAGCAAGTGCCAGCCAATCTTTCTTGGGAAACTCGATTTCCAATTCAACTAGTATAACGTGATATTCTCGTGTTGCCAGATGCTGTCCATTTGACAGTTGGCTATTACCTCTACCTCGTATAATACTGCTACGTACACAATATCCATCCACTGCCTATTGAGAACAATAGAGTCACCGGTTTAAGAGGGCATGACCGATTAAGCAACAGAGTATAACAACATCTATTCGGGTATGGACAGTGTGACGTGGTCGTTTCGGCAACATGTCCCTATTAATGTCCCACACATTGTCAAATACAGAGCCTGCGTGTGTGTAGCAAATCAAGCTCTCCCAAAACTCAAATCGAAATGTTTGACATCTCGTGGATCAGTTCTTGCACACGAAAACAAGCGTGCCTGTTGTTCCTTCACACACAATTCACTGTAAACACAGACTCTCCTTCTCTTCCTGCATGTAACACCAGTAAACAAACCAAGTGAGGAAAAGATCAACTTTCTGTCATTACGGAAAACGTTCCTCGCCAATGGTCGTGGTTCTTGGAATATACACCCAACACACTGGTGTTGAGAGAGGTGGGGGTAAACAGGATACAGTGAAGGTTCGAAATGAGGAAAACATTCCATCACAATCTACGCTACTTCAAATCCCCCTCTCTTGGATTTTTCATATGGAATATAGGGGAGTAATGTAAACACGTAAGCGCTGACACGCATGGTTTTGTCAGGGGAGAATGTGAACGTGTTTACTGGTGTTACATGCAGGAAGAGAAGGAGAGTCTGTGTTTACAGTGAATTGTATGTAAAGGAAGAACAGGCACGTTTGTTTTCGTTTGCATGAAGGAAGAATGGGCACGTTTGTCTTCGAGTTATAGCTCCGGTGATTCGGTGTACTTACCGACAAAATATTGTCTTGTATCATTTTTGTGTCTGATCATCTGAGACTGCACATCTTTAGAAAAATCAATGTTTGTGATCACACAGCCGTCTAAACTTTCACAATCTCAAACGGGATTTATCTGCCGTGGGACACTGAAAATGGACTCTGTAGATGAACATACACGAAACCAGATTTCTACACCGTTTTTATTTTGTGTGTCTGGCAATTTTTTTAAGGAGCTGTTTTGAAAAATGCACGGTGCGTGCATGAGCATAACACAAACAGCAGGGATCTGTGTTTGACAGCCTGTCCTAATATAGCCAGCCTCCCTCAGTCCCCTCGGAAACCTTATCATCCAAGCTCCACTAGGTACATATATACACAAAACACCTCTAGTGTGTGCCTGTTGAGAATTAAGTAAAGTGGGTGGGTTGCAACAGATGTGAGTGTCAGTCTTCACCAGTTATGGAGATGCTGGGGAAATATAACTTTGTTATAGTGGGTTTGAGTTCAGAGAGTGTCAAGTCACCTTGTTAGGGCCTTCTTTGACAATGTCTAGTAGTAACTATGATCCCGGGACTTACGATGCATGCATGTCATATGACAGAGACGTGAGTATGTTGTACGTAGTAGTCCAGGATCACACAGTTAACTTCCCTTGAAGGCTATGCTTTGTATGCACATCCTATTGGCTACGTACTACGTAGCTATAGTAAGCATCACATACTGTGCATGTTTCAGTGGCTGACAAAGCCACGTTCACACTGTGTGAACTATGTTCAAAGGAGTTACTCATGCCCTTTAGTCATGTCTTTCTCCTGTTCCTATGGATGTAGTCACTGAAGGAATTGTTTAGAGAGGGATTCACTGTCCTTTCACAGTGCTTCCGCTAATGTGTGATGTAATGTGAGAGCGAAGTTTTGTTCTGTCCGCTAATTTTTGCCTTCTCCTTATCCTTCCTCCTTGCTCCCTTCATCCCTTCTCCCTCCCTTCCCTCTCTCCTTCTTTTCTATCGTTCCTCCCCTCTCCCTCGCCTCCCTCCCTCTCCCTCCTTCCCTCGTCCACTCTACTCTTTCCTTCTCCCTCCCTCCCTCTCTCCTTCCCTCCCTCCCTCCCTCCCTCCCCCTCCCTCCCTCCCTCACTGCAGGTTTCTCCTGGAACACCTCTACTCTATCACACTTGTCTCAGGTTCAATCAGGAGGAGAGTGCTCCCGGGACATCCTCAGACTAGAGATCAAGGTCCTGCAGACCACCACAGGAGAAGTCCCCGGTACTGACACTCCTTCCACCACTCCTGATCGCAGCATCGCTAACCCAACTGATACCACCGACTCAACTGTTGACGTTTCAGTAACAAATCAAGGTATTGTGATGAATGCCCTTCACTGAGAAACATTTTCATTGGGAAGATGCAGAAAGCATCCTATTTACGTATGATTAGGTAGCATTATAATATAATAGCTAATAGAAAATGGTGCTGAAACAAAAGCCTAATTGCATTCTTCCACTGGGCCCTATCCATCTTTAGTATATAGCCTTAACCCTCTCCTGGGTGTATAAAATAGAAGGTTGTCTTTTGCACCAGAGCTCATACCGGCTGCAGTTTAGTCGTCTTTGAGGTTGTCACACATCTGCCACTGATCCTAGTGATTTTATCAGCTACAATGTAACTTCCACTAGTTGAATGCAAGCACTGTTGAGAGTACATGTAGTGTACATTGCTTCACGCCTAGTCAGTATGTTTTCCTTAAGCTCTATTTATAATTCTATTTACAGTAGTAGTGTGCCACATTCCCTTTTAAAGTCCGGATCCTGGATCAAGAGTTCTATGATCCTTTTCATTGCCTTTTGAATGTGTACTGTCTGCCCCCTGTCATCCATGTCACTCTCCAACTATGCAGAGGTCAAAGATCCTCAGGGACTGGGGTCAGTCGAGAACTCTCAGGGTCTACCCATCTCACTCTCCCTGCCACTCGTCCTTACAGTTTCACTCGTAACTCTTCTAACTCACTTTCTTGACTGACACCTGTGTGTGACTCCATAATTATTATGATTATGACCTGTTACACACCACCACCACTAGCTTTTTACATGCTTTACGTTCGTGTATATATATATACTGTCCTCTATAGAGTGTCATTTATCACTTATGCATTGTATAATATAATAAGAATAAAATTGGTTTATAAAACGCTAAAAAAGAAAAAAAGATCAATTTCATGTATTGGAGGTGTGGCTTTGAAAGGCGTGGTCGTCATGTGACGTAGTTGCTATGAACCTCCTCCAAGTGTTGGTAGTGGGTGTTGCCACGGTTACCGGGAATACAGCTGGTGAACATTAACGTCACCAGAGCCTTGATGTGAAACCCAGCCCTCCTGGCCACGCCTATTTCCCTCGGCCCCGCCCATTAGAATGTCTCTCTTCAGCTTCCCTCTCGCTGCTAGCCCCTGCCAGTAGCTGGGAGGTCGGTTTAGATGGTTCTGTTGTGTATTGTATGTGTGTGGGGGTCGGGGGATTGAGAGTAAGAAAAAAACAAAGTGAGACAGGGGAAATAATTATAGAGATGGCTGGAGGGAGAAAGTAAGAGAGGGGCAGAGAGCAGAAAGTGAGGTCAGTTGGGAGTGGCCTTATAACTCAGGCCTTCTCCGTTTACGTAGCGTAAGCACAAGAGTAATGTAAGCGCTGGCACGGATAGCTTTCTTCACATGTCCATTATTATGGCAAATTGTGCACGAGTGGTTTCTGAACAATGTTTCTGTGCGTATACATACATACGCTGCGTAACTGGGAATGAGAAGGGAGTGAGGTATATATAGGGAGAGGAGGGATAAATTGGTGTTCCTATATAAGGAGACTGGTGTTCCTAAGGAGAGAGAAGTGAGAGGAAGACAGATTAAAACAGAGAGGAAGGAAAAGAAAGCAGAGGGAGAGAGGGAGGTCTGGTCACAGAACTAACCCAGGTCCACCATATCCATACTGTCAGATCTCCCTCTCCCTTCCCCTCCTCCCTCCTCCTCCCTCCCCACGTCAACCGTCGGAGTCTCCTCCAGTCGCCCCACCACTCTCCTGTGAACCGACTCCCATCTGCTCCAGAGGTGAGGGTGGACCCGAGGGGCTCGGCCATGGAGACGAAGGCCAGTCGATGTCCAGCGAGAGAGATGTCGGAGAGGAGGGAGTCTGCCTCGTATTTGAGGGTCGGACTGAGGGCTTTACGCAACACCCACAATCTGGGGGAGAGGTGTGTGTGTGTGATGTGTGTGTGTGTGTGTGTGTGTGTGTGGTGGATGTGCAGGGGGAATAGTGAGGGGAAAAGAGGAGGGAGTAACACACAAAAAGGTGAAGGATAGGGAGTGTGTGTGTTTGGGGAGTGTGCGGACTGCCACTATGGACGTAGAGAACTACAAGTTGGAAAAGATGAGAGAATGAACGAGGGGCATTATAAAAGGTCTGGTCTAGTCTCGTACCCAGAACCACACCCTCAAGAGAGGAAAAGAGTCTGGTGACTATTGAGTGTTGCATTGGTTGTGCTGACTCATCATAGCTGGGAGGCTCAGGTTTTTTGTAAGCACCATTATTTATCGAGCTTCGTAAACCTGCTGATACTAATCGTATTCAGCTTCTCAAATGCGAGACGGTGGATTCAGCAAAATCACTATAGTTGCAACTCTCCCGAGAGGGGGTCTGGGTGTACTGTGCCTCCAACTACAATTTCAAAGTCACCTGTATGTACCGCAGTCTGCAGATTTCCTACAGTTCTCGTAACTCAACTGTACTGCGGTCATATATGCCATTTGTTGCGCCACACCTTCTAAAGCTCTCCCTTGACTCTATATAGAGCGCGTAAAGAGTATACGAATAATAGCAAAATTACGGATGGGTCCATGAAGTTGGTGTGGTCAACGTAGGAGAGGGTGTGGCCAATGAAAAGGGGTGTGGTCATTACCTCAGAGCTGTTCCCCTGATTCTAGTTTTGTCCACAGTGTAGACCAGGAGAGAGTTGGGGGCCAGTGCTAATTTCTTGGCGACCCCCTTCATCAGTGTAATTACATCGCACAGTGGAGACTCGTCCAGCTACGTTAATGATACAGACAGGAGAAAGGGCTACCTCAGAATGTTTCAATATGGCAATTACCATTCATGAGATTATGTATATTCAATACTTCTGCTAGTATATACATACCAGATGAGTGCAACACATTTTTGGCGAGTAAAGCAAACACTCTAATATTTTACACATGTACAGTGGAACCTCGTTAATATGAACACTGTTAGAGCGAAAAACCTGCTTAATACAAACCACTTTGAAATCCCCAGGCATTATAACACTAATACAACTACTAGCTACTGTTATAGTGAAATTCCTTTTAATATGAAAGTTTTTGATGGTCCCCTGGAGTTCATATGAACGTGGTTCGACTGTATTTAGATTTGCCTATAACATTACGGTATGTTTCAGTGCCCGTCAACTCTCGCAGAGACAAGGTAGGCTTGCTTTGCTCGCCAATTATAACCACAGCTCAAAAAACGATATTGAATGGCTACATGTGTGCACGACGCACACGTACCTACTCACCATGAGTCCGGGGGCAGGTCTGAGGATGATCTCCATGAACTGGTGCCTCGATTGTTGCAGTCTGTGGAGCCGCAGTCTGCTCCTTGGGCACGCCCTGAACTCTCCCACTCTCACTCTCTGCAAGGTCAAGGTACAGTCGAAAAAGAAAGAAATAATAGGCGTTTAGGTTTTTAGAGCCAACTGCAAAACTTCTGGAATGAGGGCCACTCTGCCCAGTTTTGCTACTTGCGATATCCTCTTCCACTGAAACATGAGGTGATTGTAACTCGATTTGTGGCCCAAAGCCACTGGAGTTTGCATTGCGCGTAATAATAACGTGACACAATAAATTGGGCCCCAAAGAGTTTCAAAGTGGTAAAGCTGGGTTGGCAACATTTCACATGTGCCCTGTCACGCCATGCCGCATTGCGTTGTGTGTCGTGAAGATGGAAATTCTTGGGACACCTCGCTAAATCACTGAGATCCATGACACTTCACAAATCAGGACACTTTCTTACGGTGGCAATGCAGTACGACGAGACAGGGCAATGTGACGCATTGTCAACCTAGCCTAATAGGTATTCATTGAACAACTGCTGACTTAGTTACTATTGCGTAGCATGTGTGTTGTATGTCTTGTTGATAATTGTGAGGCTCAGCAAATTGTATCGACGCATACCAAATGCTGAAGCCTAACTAACTGCAAGTAAGGTGGTTCCAAGTATATACAGTGGAGTCTCGTTATAATGAATTGCTGGGGACCTAAAGAATTTGTTCACAGTAAGGGGAATTTGTCATAAGTGTGGCGAAAGTGTAGTATCCAGAATTTCGTACTAAGTGTGTTGTTTATAATGAGACTCCACTGTAGAGGGAGGAGAGAGAGGGGACCTGTGTGAAGTCAGTGAAGGTGTTGCAGTAGCGCTGGTAGGCAGTAGTGACTGTGTCATTGCGAGGGAGACGAGGAGAGGAGAGAGGGGAGGAGGGTGAGGAGGAGGAGGGGAGGGGAGGGAGGAGGTGGGGGTTGAGAAAGTCTCGGAGACAGATGGCCAGCTCGAGGGGGCGGGAGGGAGAGAGGGGTTGGTCGGAGGTGGGTGGGGCACTGGGGGTGTGGTCAGTGATCTTTCTCAGGAGGTCATCGTAAGCTCGGCTCTGGGCCAGAATCTCTTCCTGCACCTGCCGAGAGTAGTCTACATGTACACAAAACAGTGAAAGAGGGGTTAAATACACATGCAGTGACAGAGAAGGGGGTTTTAACGGAGGGTGAGTGACACAGACGTGAAAAAACATTGACAGTGGAAATTGGGTTAAACACAAACAGTGAGACAGGCGTTGAACATCAACTCTCCTTTCATTCTGGAAACTCTGTTTCCCCATTCTTGCAAAACAGTGCATGCACGGTGATGGACTACCTACGAGATACACCTATTATACCTAACTCTTGCCTCCGTTGCCAGTGAATCGAACAAAACAAAGGATAAAAGTCTAGAAAGGACACCGAACTAAGGCACAATCCCGCGCGAGCCACGTCTGGCCGGCGAGACTAGGCCCAATGGCCTCTGCTAACTGCCAACCTCCGCTGCGTCTGTCAAGAAGTTCCATCAGCTGCTGACTTCTGTCGGCTATCTTCTCCTGCAGAGCCTGGGGGAAGGGGAGAGTTTAGCCTCCTTTGGGGCAAGGATTTTGATGCCTTATCCACATCTACTTCTACGCCAATTGTTTCTGATTTTCTTCCTTCACTCACTATTATTTGTTCTTCCCCTTCCTTCTACGTATATACCTCTTTCTTCCTCTCTCCCTCCTCCTACCCCCTCCTCTCTCCCTCTTCCCTTGTTTACCATACCTCTCCCTCTTGAGCCTCATCCTCTCTCCCTCCTCCCTCTCTCCCTCCTCCCTCCCCCTCTCCCTCCCCTCTCTCCCCTCCTCCTCCCTCCCCTCTCTCCTTCATTCCTCCCTCTTTCTCATCTATCTCACCTGCAGCTCTTCTTCCTTTGGCTGTAGCTGGTGTTTCAGAATATTAAAGTCTTCACCTGAACACAGTGTGTGCATGTGCAAGAGGGAGAAAACAACTGCTGTTAGTGTGTGCAAGAGGGAGAAAAAGACAGCTGTTCTTTCTCTAATGTAATGAGAAGCTGTTCTTTCTACATAAAGGAAGTAATAGCTTGCTGTCTATTTCAGTCAAGTATGGTGAAATCTTTACAACACTTGAAAGTGTATTTGTTGATTTCACCATGCTTGACTGAAATAGATAGCAAGCTGTATATTACATCACTTCCTGAGTTTTACGCCTATTTCTGGTTGCCTAGGAGCGGGCTAGTTGTTGTTAACTTCCTTGTTCTACAAGTTCTTTATAGAGGTATAATAGAGAAGCGTTTATGTAAGGAAAACTCACTAGTGGTTGCCAGGGTTGCCTCAGTGGAGTGGAGTTCCTGTGGAGAATGAGGGGTTAAGAGAGCATGTGAGAAAGAGAAAGATGGGAGGGAGAGAGAGAAATGAGTAATTTCTTCCAACCTGACCAAGCCCATAATAGCCAATTGTAGGGGAAACTGATTCTTCAATTAATACATGCTTGAGCGATGACAATATTGATTGGAAATTAACAGTAATGTAGTAGGTATTGTTGAGGTTGGCCCTCTCTCAGCACCTGTTGTGTCTTGCCCAGTTCCTGGTGAGTCATCTCCAATTGCTGTCTCACCTCTGACAGAGCTGTCCTATTATAATATAGGAGAGGGCGGGAGGGAGGGAGGGAAGGAGGGAGGGAGAGGAAAGAATGTATAATTCCACAAAAGTAAAGCTCTCTCTCATGGACCAGTCACTATTCCACCGGGACTTTAGTCTCCTGAAACAAACTTGAACCGGTGCGTGTTTGGAGATGCACCTACAAAGGTTTTACACATGGAGGCTGGGGTTGATTATTCAGTAAATTTTAAATCATTTTCGTTACGTTTTGCAACAAACGTTTTCTCCCTTGGCAGTTTCCTGTTGTATGGTGTTGTATAACGTCCTGATGCATTGCGCAATACCTGAGACTCCGCTCCATATCTCTGCTGGCCTCTAGCTCCTTCTCCCTCTCCCCCCTCTCCCTCTCCTCCTCCCTCACCCTCCACCTCAACTGCTCTGCCTTCTCCGCCGCCTCTCTCACTCTCTCCTCCCGCCCGACAATGGCCTGTCGCTGGTCCTCCTGATGGGCCCCCAGCTGCTCCACCAGTCCACCCACCTCCCTGTCCTTCTCCTGCAGTCAGACACACATTTTCCAGTATTTTTTTTCATTTGCCACAATAATATGATACCTGCACATACACACAGGGTATTCTTTACCGACTTGTGTGATTGTTATTGCGGGTACGATTATAGTCAAAGAGACGTTTGTGTTAATAGTACAGCATGTCATGCATACCAGTTGACCACATTTTCATTTTCCACAAAGGGTTTCACTGTTAATACTCTATATACTCTCTTTCATTTGTCTAATACTCCAAACGCATGTATATACAGTGGAACCTCCAATAAGGGACCCTCCGACATAGGGACAACCTCTCTCAAAGGATGATCTCCATGCTAATACTTTAGCGACCTCTGAGATAGGGACAACCTCTCTACAAGGAAGAGACAAAATCTGAGGTTCCACAGGAATTCCAAACCTTGAGTGAGGTCTCGGTAGCTCTGTATCTGGACTGGAGCTCCTTGAGGTCACTCCGTAGGCTCTGATTGATGTCAGCCAGCCTCTCATTCTCCCCCTCCAGCTCTCGGAGTAGCCTCGCTGTGGACTGCTCTCTCCCCTCACTGTCTGTCCTGTACTGAGAGTGCTCTCTCTCCAGCTGGTGGACGTGGTCCTCGTAGAGGGAGCGGAGGGATTCAGCCAGCCCCTCCAACTGTAGATGGAGAGAGCGGGGAGGGAGGGAGGTGAGAGAGGGAGGGAGGCTCTATGCTTCTCAAGTGGAAAGAGGGGGAAGGAAGGAGGGAGGGAAGGAAGGGAGAGAGTGCTGAGAGATTTGTGTGTGTTGGTTGAAGGTTCAGTAACTCCTAAAGCATTCATTTCCTGGTTCGTGAGAAATACAAGAGATTCTGACTTTGGTGTTGCTTGTAGTTAGTTCCTTCCATGTGTGTCATTTCCCTGTGTTTGTTTTCTCTGTGCATGCTTCATGATTCCTGTGCCATCAACACAAACTATCACCAAGACACAGACGACCGCCACCCAGACAACACACGTACAAACACACAGTGTCTGGCACTTTCTGCCCTAACACACGCGTTGCATATAAATGCATAATGACAGTGATAGACTGTCTGTAGTATATACAACACTACCAGCTATAATATACCACTCAGCACACACACACACACACACACACACACGTAGCTCCTAGCCAGCACAAGCCACCGAACTAGTTTGGGATGGAATCTGAATCAGCAACGCCTAAACCAAGGGAGATTGCTACGTCTGGGGCCCAGATGAAGTCGTAACAATATCCACTGGAGCTTGAACGAACACTGGTAGCTAAGGCTAAAAGGCAAAAGCTCACTTCGCTGACGGCGCTGCTCAGGGACCCAGCTGTTACTGCAACGTCCACGGCTTCCGTCTCTTCCCTCCCTCTCCCCGCGCCCGCCGCCCGGCTCGGGCCCGCCAGTCCTGCGTACACGAGTCCCAGGGCTTCGGCCAGTCTCATGTGGCCTTCCTCCACCCTTCTTGAGAACTCTCCACTTGTCGACATCGCGTTTGGCAAGCGCAGGGGAGCGAAGAGACAAGTCCGCACTATGCGAACACTGGAATGCGTGGGAGGATGGGCGGGGCTTGTAAAGCTCGTTGACGCGCGTGCGCAACTCGTTTCGCGATTATGCATTATTGCGTGTGAACGTGTACACACGACGCGACGGGCACACAAAGCTAGAGCAAATTCTTCCCGTGGGAAACATCTCACCGCGCCACGCCAAAGCCACGGCACCGCCCTAAAGAGAGGGAGACGATCAAAACCGGAAGGGGCGTTTACCGTCCGTTCACTGAAAAGCCAGTGGCTGGACCACGGGAAAAGGCTCTGGGAAAAAGGCTAGCCGTGGAGACTTTCCTGGTGGCTTTCTCGAGCGCGCTCTACGAGTGACGGACCTTTACGAAAGAGGTTTCTCGCCGGACAAGCAGTAATGGTAAGTTTGGTCAAACGGTTAGGATATGCGTTTCGCTTCAGGTATGTTGACGATGGACTATAAGAAGTAGCTATACCCAGGAGCTTTACGCACCAGTATGTCGTACGTAGAGCGACGGAACAGCCATCCCAGCCTCTTACCGTTGTGTGCGGTAACAAGATTTTTATTATTATACGGAAGCCTCTAGGTAGCGTGTCCTCTCGGATCCACGCAATAGCATTAGAAGTCGGTTAGCTAAGTACTTACTCTTTTTGGTGGTGGTTCCTCTGAGCTTATGTATATGGATAAAATAGGGACAGATCAAACTTGCATCAATCCAGGAAATACGTATGCAAGTTTCCCACACAATTTTGTGGGAAATGATCAGGCAGAATGGCGTGTCAACATTACCCAACTGTCTCCCTATCATGACTTGCGCTGAGCAATAAATGCTTACACACACGCACTCACCAACTAGCAAATTTCCTATGTGTACTGCTGTACTTTAGTGTGTTGTTTACTCCATAGTGTCGTGTTTATAGAGCAAGGTTTGTTCAGGCGGGCAGTATATAATAAGCGCTCTGTCACCATTGGTGACCAGTGATCTGAATAAAAATGCATGTTCGTGCTTCAAAAGACCAAAAAAAAACTCAATTTCAAAGTGGATTTTTGAACTCGATTTGTTAACTCTGTAATCTTGTCAGAAATGTACCTTTTAATTTACCGATCATCATTTTCAGAAAGTTTTAGTGATCTACCACACTCCTCCACCTCCATTCATTGTAGACCGTGCTGTTATTTGTCATGCTCGCTAACAGAAATGGTGGAGTGGTATACAATAAAACTGAGGAAAAAACGAGAAAAAGGAAGTGAAAAGATATACATAACAGCGGTGTAGACTACTGGGGCAGCCAGCATGGTTGGGGGTATAATATTCATGCGACTGGAATCTGCCCCTTTTCTCACCGTTCCCATAGGAACTTTAATGTGGTGGTTCTATGCAACTGTGAATAGCTCATTCCAAGAGCCTGTGAATACTTGATTTCTCTCTCCCCTCCCTCCCTCCTTCCTTCCGCTTTCACCCTTTGCCATCTCTCCCCCTATCTCTCTCCCTACCTCCCTTCCCTCTTCAAACCTACTTAATTCTCTCCACTGTCCTTACTTCTCCCTCCTCCCCTCCTCACTAGATGACAACTCCGTTCCTCTCCTCCTCCCTCGCTCACCCCATCAGCATACGGCAGACACCAGCCACAGCTGTTATGGCCTCTGGTAAGTATCAACATGTCGCCCGATTAGCAACAAGAACACGTCGACTGTAGCTGTCAATTCTAGAGTAATTTCTTTACATGTCATACTTGTACAAGTACATGTTTGGCAAACAAAGTGAACTTACCTAGAATTCGTCTGAAATCAGTGACTTTATAAGTGTCTAACTACTGGACAATTTTTGTTGTACGCATTCAACTCGGCCAAATATGCATTCATTCTTGGTAGCGTGTGATATCATGGCTACCTTGTCAGTGGGTGGGTGGGTGGCACGAGCATTACCATAAGCCCCCCACATCATGGTTATTGTATTGTGTGGCGTAGACATGGGCAGATGATGAGCTCTCTCCTCCCTATGAGATGATGAGCTATATATACTATACTTACATCCTGGCCAAATCATTGTTGGCCGTGGGAATAAATACCTCATGTTTTATTAGGCATGTCGTATCAGACTTACGCAAACCTTGCTACCCCAAACAGTGCCTCACAAAAGTATATGGGCTATAGCAATAAACATTGTCATGCACAGCCACTTTTGAATCGACCATGGTATTGAGCAATTCAACATGGGTTGGTCGTATGCAAACAACGATGAAGTCGCTAGGCATAAGCCACAGAGCAAAGCAGCACTGGACTAGGAAGGCATGTTGAGGGGCAGGGGAGGGATAAGGGGGGAGGAGGGGAAATCAAGTGATAGAACCGCAGCAAGGTGTGACATACAACACGAGCTGACGGAGAGTGAGGGGCACAGGGAGGACTGCAAAGGTACAAGAGAAGAAGAGAACACTGCAGATGAGCGAGAAGCGCTCGAGCACAGACAACCGTAGAACGCGGACAGCGTAAGGCGGAGGCGAGAACGAGCGCAAACAGGGTAGCGATGCAAAGATGACGCGCAACAGCGACACGCGCAGGTGTACACAAGAGACGCGACGACGCGCCCGCGAGAAATAGCAAACAGCGCCCCACGAGCAAAAGAGAAAGAGAGCAAGAGACAAAGGCACGAAACGAAGGACGGGAGGAGAGACAAAGAAAGCAAGACGGGAAATACAAGAGAAAGATGAAAAGGGACGAGGCGAGTGTAGCAGAGAAAGCGAAGCGACAGCTGAAGGAGGAGAGAGAAAGAGGTTTACCAAAGAGAGACACAAACACAAAGCTGCCACGCGTCCACAAAGCGTCTAGACGCATCACAGCTTATCCCGTCTCGCACTTCTCTCGCCCTCCTATCTCTGCTATCTACTAAACCACTCTTCCCCTGCAGGCATGACACTGATACCACAAGGCCAGCAGCTATATGCAGCCAACACTGCCATCTTCCCCATCCCAATGTCAGTCTCACAGGGCCATGGTGGGTTCCTGCCCACTGTCAGTGTCCAGGGAATGGTCGGTGAGTCAGAGCCATCTTCTTGTCTTTTTAATACACACACAGCCATTACCAATCATTGTTGACATGCAAATCCAACTGCGCGGAGGCCTGCTAGGATTCCGCCTCCGTGTGTGTGTGTGTTGGGGGGGGCGGAAGGGTGTAGGCCTCAACTGTACTGGCAATACAATCGGTGGTGATTGTGGGCGCCTGTGCACAGAGGGATCAGTGTGCATGAAGGTGTATCTTTGGGTGATTTTACGGAACATTTGGAGGTTGGTTTCTGCTTCGAGAGAAAGAGGAGGAGGAGGGGAGAATGGTAGCACCCAGGAAGAAGATTGGGACATGAGTTGATGCAACCGTCTTTTCCTGTGTGTGTGTATGTGTGTGTGTGTGTGCATGTGCATGCTGTTGTTATTGTTGTTGTTTTGACTTAGCTGTTGTTGATGTGTGAGTGTGTGTGTGCATCACATGGTATTTTCTACATGAGTTTGTTTGCATGTGTACGTACATGAGTGTGTGTGTGTGGGACACAGAGAAAGGAGAGAGAAAAGGAAAAGGTGTGACTCTTTCTGTTTGTCTATGTGTCTGTCTGAGGGTGTGTTTGTATGTGTTGAGGCTGCGATGATAGCTTCCATATATCCCTGGTCCTAACTCAGCTTAAATGTGTCTACTGCTCTTCCAAGTCTTCCGCTGCCTTCCAACAACCCACACAACACCCACACAATAGACTGTGGGAAAACGTGAATCTACTCATAGTAGTTTACATACTGCAGCATGTCCGTGGGAAAACAATGTGTGCACTGGGACTCTTCCAGTACTGTGGGAAAGTGGCAGCAAGCCTGTGTGGGAACGACAAGCTGCTAATCTGCAGTGAATGCAGTGTGAACTCACCCTTGACTTTTTACCATGGGAGCCTATAGAGAGGGTTGGTTGAGCGATCTCCTTGGCCTGCCAGTCCTGTGGGCAGCCGAAGAAAGAGAGCAAGCCTCTCTTTTCAGAGGGGCACCCGCCACCGCCCGCTGCCTACCGCTGCCTACCGTGTGGTTGTATAAGCTTTCCCAGGCAAGCTTTCCCACAGAACAGCTGTGGTCGGAACAAATCTTTCGCCTGCTTCAATGCATTCCTAGAATTCCGTTCCCAGCCTCTGGCGTGTGCGTTCCCAGGCTAGTCAACACTCCGGTGTGGTGGTGCCTCTGGGAGTGGAAGGGAGCCGGGGTGTTTTCCCACGCGAGCCCTTGAGCATGTCCTCGTTTTGAGTCCCTCAGCTCTCGCTCAGACGTGTTACCCCTTCCTTTTGAGATCTGGCTCCTCTCTTTGTCCCCCTTCCTGTACACATTTCCCCCTATGGTCACTGTATCACTAAGTACGGCATAGTACTTAGTATATATAGGGATGGCACAGGTTGTCCTGTATGTATGTATGTATGTATACCCAACATGTCACCATGCAATACAACACTAACTGTGATCAGTCCCTTCTATCAAAACTATGGCCACCATCTCCCAGTTTCATTCTTCAGATTCCTTCAACAAACTTACTTCCTTCCATTACCCAGTGAGCATTCTGGCTGATCCCCTTGTCCGTTCCAGTTCTAAGTCGGCTGCTAGTCGCCTGCCTCCTTTGCAACCAACGACTGAACTCTTCCTATTCACGTGACCACTGCAACTGTCGTTACTCCTCCTATTCTTCCCTTCGTTCCCATGTTTAGTTTCTTACCGTTCCCTTCGAAACGGCCACACCTGCGAGCTATTTCTCTATGTCCTCATGTGACCACTGCAGCCATTGTTCACCCTCGGCACGCAAGCACAGCGAGGGTTACAGTACTTGGTCTGTCTGTCTGTCTGTCTGTGTGTCGACGCTTATTCTGGCACTACAGGCTACATGGCGGCCTATAAGCGCTTCAGAGTGACCAAAGTGTGTGAAAAATCGATTTTCATGAAACGACTGCGTTCCAGAGATATGTCATGAAAACAAGTGTCTCCGCTGAGGGTTTGTACTTTAGTGCTTAGTTCGTGTTCCCCCTTCCCTCTTGTTACACTGTTAAGAATCTGACTGGTCCTTCAAACCAACCACGCACACTTTGGCACACTTGGACTCTTTCTGCGTTCCCATGCGACCACTGCACCAGATATTGAATAGTTGTCGTCCCTTCCGTTCTCATGTGACCACTGACTGTTCCATTAGTCTTACGTGACCAATGTCATGTGACTGTTTCTATGAGCCCATTAGTCTTACGTGACCAATGTCATGTGACTGTTTCTATGAGCCCATGTGAGCCAGGAGTGAGTTAGTTCTTACCTTACCGTGTGACAATGTACTATCCCCTATCATAATTCCCTGTTCTCCTGTGACTATTCCTCGCTCAGGGGACCACAATCACACAATCACACACTGCTCTGCCACAATCCCACACTGCTCAGAGCAGTTCCCACCAGCTGAATAAGATCCATCTCACCTCTCTCCCACACACCCTAGCTCACACCATGCTCTCCCAAAAGACCCTATTGGGACCACGTTGTTTTCACACGCTTACACTACCACCGTCCAATAGCGTTCTCTGGGAATCACAGGGGGACCTAATAACTGGCTTGTTGCACATGTGTACATTTACACTGTCACACACTGTGGTGACATCATCATGGGCTGAAAGGGGGGGAATCCTATTACTTACTGTATACTGAAACTGTGACTAAATTGTCGACCTAGTGGCTGAATTGGAAACTGAAAGGGAAACGGGAAGCAACTGTGTGTGCGAGTGGGCTCTAAAACAGCTTGCTCCTCTATTGTAATACAGTATGCCATCACTGTGTGGTTAATACGAAGGATCTATGATATACAAACGGAGCCTTATCTTCTTGATGTTTCTGTGTACAGTAGAACCCCTCTCACAGGAGACACCTGAAATGAGGACGTATCTCTAATAAGGACACCTTTTCTTATACAAGACACCTCACTCTATGGATACTATTCTGTCCTACTGGTGTGGTTGTGTATACCGAACTCCCGATTAGAGGGTTGATTGTTTCACATCTCTCTCCACCTCGACTGTCCATCTCCCCCCCCCCTCCCAAGGTGGTACCCCTGCAATCTACCACTCTGGATTAGACCGAGCCCAGGCCGCGGCACTGCTGAGTCAGCACAACATGAGCACCCGACTCCTCATCGCCCCGGCAACCGAAATATCAGCGATGCCGTAAGTATATCACGTGACACATCAACAACCTCACCACATGTCGCCATTGCATGCAGAAACACAAAATCTTTGTGTCGAAATACGTAACTGTTTTTACATCACTCCATTTTCACACTTCAGGGTGAACACAGAAGAAAAGTATGAATTAAAGGTAAGTTGTATTACCTGAATTATGAGTGCATGTGTATCAAAAGAACCTATACATGTATGTATACCCACACGTAATTTCACCAAAAAAAGAGATGTAAGCTTAACGATGATTCCCCGAGTGCATGAGTGTATTGCAAAACAGCGTTAGTCTTACATACTGCATAAAAATCCTCGAGCATTGGTGTGAGATTTGTATTTGCAATTCTATGCACTTCTACCTGAATATTCCTTGTATGTAGAGACTGTCTAACTGAGTTACTTTCAATTTCAAGTGAACGTGTGTCCTTTTGTGTGGGTGTGAGTGAGTAAGAGAGACATCATGGTGTCCCTTATTTAGAGGTGTCCCTTGGTTTCACTGTGAAGATGAGTATATAACTGATGAAACAACTTGTCCTATTTGTCACTAGGAGAACAGACTGACACGAGAGGCAATGAGGCGGTACCAGAAGGGGCAACGCTGCTGCACGATAACCATCATCCACGCCAAAGTCGCGCAGAAGTCTTACGGAAACGAAAAGAGGTGCGATAGTCACACAAGTTCAAAATTTCTCTTTTTATTGTGGTACACTAAAGCTTTTGTGAATTTAGCCATCCATTCCCAAATGTGAAATCTTAGAGCTGGGTAATTTAAATTGCGCAATCTGATTGGTCCGTGCGCGGACTCTAATTCGAGTAGAGCGAATTTTCCGGACTCTAAATAAACTTTCTCCGGACTCTAAATTTGGCGCATGCGCAATGGCTCACTTACGTTGGGCGGAGTCCCCCAACGGTCTGCGAAGGTGTATAGAGTCGAGCCCGTTGTCGACGTCCTCCCTGGGCCTCTCGCTTGACTTCCCAGCGAGAAAGCAGCGCTCGTTCGCGGTTTCAGATGCACCGAATTTGAATTGCGCGCACGCGTTGCCATAACTCTAAACAAGTTAGACGCCTCGTCCATGGAAACTACGCGCATTAGAGCGCCTTGGGGGCCCTTAGTAGCGTCCTCGCTGCGCTCGAACGCCGACAGCCCGGGGCCCCCGCGGCTCTCTAATGCGCGTAGTTTCCTGGACTCGGCATCTAACTTATATATAAAGTTTTCCTGTTATGACTTATATACCCTTGATTGCCTGGCATTTCATCTGTATGTATGGGGACCAGGTCACATGACTAAACTATGGGAGTCACATGACAATCACACCCCAGGTTCTTCTGCCCCCCACCGACGCTCTACCTGACGGGCAAGGGCTGGGAGGAGAAACGGAAGCTGATTGATGGGAAAAAGACGGAGGGCAAAGGTCACATTCACCGGCCGTGTGCTTTCATCGGCATCGGGAACTCTGAGCAGGAGATGCAACAGCTGTCACTGGAGGACAAGGTTGGTTGGCATGTAGGGGAGCCGGGAGCGTCCACGCAGTTAGTTTCAAAATCCGGCCACGGTTCAATAATCTAACCTGATTGGTCAACCTCTTTCAACTCGCTGGGTTTCCATGGCCACAAGCACGTGTGCTTATATATACGCTTATCTTACAAGAGCCAGTGCCACAGGGAGTCACGGAGGACAAGAAGAGAACCAGGACCTTTAGGTTTAGCATGTTCCATAATGGTAAGACTTAATTATGCTGTAGTTTTGTGAGTGGTTTTGGTTTTAATGTGCTGTGCTCACCAGTGTTTGCGAAAATATTTTCGGAGTTCGCTTTTTTATTAATTTCGTTTACCAGTGACAATAAAGAGAACAAAACTTGGCAACGGTGAGGTCTGAACACACTGCCTTTGCTGTGTTAATAGAGTGTATGTATGTATGTAGCCTATGCAGTAAGGTGGGCGGCTTATTGTGCTCAGCATGTTGTATACCTCTGGGTCTTTACCCTCTCTACCCGTTTCCCCCCCTCTCTCCCTCTCTCTTCTCTCTCTCTCCCTCCTCTCCCTCCCTCCCTCCCTCCCTCTCCCTCCCTCCCTCTCCTCTCTCTCCCTCTCTCCTTCCCCGCCTCTGACCATTAGATGTTCTGTGCAGCAAAGACTCTCTACATATCAGACCAAGATAAGAGAAAACACTTCCAGCTAGCCAGCAAGGTACTATTGCATGCATATGCATATCTCTCGAACGCAGTCGTTTCAGGAAAATCGCCATTTTATTTTCAGGTTCGCATAGTTCTGAAGCCGCTGGTATCGCTAATATGCCGCCTCGTAGCCTGTAGTGCCAGAATAAGCGTCGACACACAGACAGACAGACAGACAGACAAACCAACTACTGTAACCCTCGCTGCGCATGCGCACCGAGGGTTAATGAAAAGTTAGCGCGAGAGAGAGACACAGAGAGCACAATCTGTGATGTCTTTGGCCCTTGTATCTGCGTAAGTAGAACGAATGCAACACAGTTTTTGGTGAGCGAAGGGACCTTTGCATCACTTTACGTGATGGTCGTGCATGTGCATTGCTGTAGCACAGAATCTATAATATGGAAAATTCAGATAACTAGGTGGGCTCGCCAGTGATGTTAGCTGTTGTTTCTGGTCAGATATTCTTTGGAGACGGGCAGGACAAAGGCACCTTCCTCTCCAAGAGAATCAAAGTCATCTCGAAACCCTCCAAGAAGAAACAGTCGCTCAAGAACCCTGAATGTGAGTGATATTAGTGAATAATTATTTGTGAAAGTGCAATTTCGGGGCATATTTTGGCTTTCTTTGGCTACTGTTGCTGTGTTCAAGCAAGAATGGCTGTTAATCTCAGGCAAAGCCCTGTTTTTTTTCTCCTGGTGTCCACTTTTGAAGGACCATAATGAATTTGGAACTAAATGTCCTTTTTCTCTTCTTTCCTTCCTCCCTCCCTTCCCTCCCTCCCTCCCTCCCCTCCCTCCCTTCCTCCCCCCGCTCCTTCCCCTCCCTCTCTCTCTCCCTCCCTCCCTCCCTCCTCCCCTCGCTCCCTCCTCCCTCCCTCCCTCCCCCTCAGTATGTATTCCATCAGGTTCAGCAGTGGCCCTGTTCAACAGACTGAGGTCCCAGACAGTCTCAACTCGCTATCTCCATGTCGAGAAGGCTCATTTCCATGCCAGCAGTCAGCAGTGGGGTTCCTTCACCATTCATCTCGGTATGTATTGCGCTACATACAATATACCATATACATAACAGGAAATAATTTAATATGGGGATAAAGCTTTAAACAGGTCGTACACAGTATTGGCGAATCAGAATATTGACGAAAACCGGTTAAATCACACACTGCAAGTTATAGTATATATGTGTTGAATAATTATTTGGTGCAAGCCGCAAAGTATTCTGTTTATGTTCTGGCGCAGTACATACTTCTAGCACCAATAGAACCGCTAGTTTTCTGGACACACTGTTCATATATAATACTCTTTGGAATGGGGACCGTGCCATCATTTGTGTGTGGGGATCAACTTTGTACAGTGAGACAAGCTATCAGGAAACGTTTTGTTCGTGAAAATTTTATTAGGCCCTAGAGGCAGGGTACTGACAGTTATAGTACTGGGAGTTTTCTTTTTGCAAATTTCTTTTCTCGTTTATTGTTATTTGCTCTCGTCTGTTCGCAGTTGATGACAGCGAGAGAGAGAGCGAGGAGTTCACGGTCCGCGAGGGGAGTACATTGCCGATACCTCATCGTTGTTGGGCACC